CCCCCAAATAATTAATCAAATAATTCCCATAATTACTATAGAGTGTTTTCAACAAAGCTTCACCTTCCATGCAAATAAAGAAAGTAGTGACAAATATTGAAATGTATCATAAAATATCAATGCCCTGTAGTTTTCTTTTTAATGACAAGTGGCTTTTAATCAAAAATAAATTAACCTATGAAAGACGGGGTGGTGCTGCATGCCAGTGTGTTCAAGTCTTCTGTGTGTTTATCTTTCTGTCTTCAGCTGGATTTGCTGATAACTTGTACTAGAATTGAAAGACATCCTGCTGTTTTTCTGTTCTGCAGATACAACTTCTTCATCATCTTGTACCCATTGGGAGTCGTTGGAGAGCTGCTCACCATTTACGCTGCGCTGCCATTCGTGCGCAGGTCTGGAATGTACTCCATGAGGCTCCCGAACAAATATAATGTGTCGTTCGACTACTACTACTTCCTCATCATCGTCATGCTGTCCTACATCCCACGTAAGGAGAAGTTTCTCTCTAATGCTCTGCACCTTTAAATTTGCTAATTCTACAAAACATGACCTCATTGAAAAAATGCTCACAAAACTAAGTCTAAACTTAACAAACTGGATCTCAAGATTGTTTTAGATTGTTCTGTTTACATGTAAAGCTTCTGAAACTACTGTGTATTAGAAACCACTGTACAACCAGTACTCATGATAGACATCAATCAAGGCTATCTAAATGTATTGAATTGCACTTTGTCATTACAATATCAGTGAAAGAATTCAAAATATCAGAAAAAGATCAAGAATTTTTGATCATTTTCTGCCTCCTAGAAGGCTTGTAAAGATTCTTTTTTGGTAGTTTGCTATATTTTGAATGTCATGCACTCAAACCCTGCATATATATTTGGCCAGTTGCAAGGACTCTTGACTCTCTGAAAATAGTAGGGACATTGTGTTGAGAAACAGGGAAAATAGTAGATTTTATTCAGCAGCAGTGTTACAATTACATATTTTCCTGGCGACATTAGTAATAAGTAAGTTTTTTGACATACATTGCAAAAGTCTGAAATTTTATTTCAGCTTTTTCCAGGTCTGGATAACTACGGAAAAAGACAGTAGAGAAAAAATCATTGTATTTCCAAACATTGTTTCCTGTTCCCATTACTATTGTGTCCCTCCCTGCTTCCTTTTGTTCTTGCATCCTTCCTTACATATGTCTTTTTTCCTTCTCTCCATCCTTTATACTTTTCTTTCCAACTCAGATTTTTTAAATCCTTGTTTCTCCCTTCCTTCTTCAAAGTCTTTTGTTCATTTTTTCCTCTCTCCTCTCTGTTTTCTTAATTTTTATTCGGTGCTTAGTGTATCAATTCTCTTATCTCCTTTCTGTCCAACTGTCTTTCTTCCTTGTGCTCTAGTTGTTCTTTGTTGTCCTTTTTTGTTTCATTCAGTCTCTAGTTTTGGCAGGTTTCATATGTAAAGCATGCCCCTCTGTCATCCATAGTCATATTTTAAAATGGGCACAAAGATGAGTAACTCACAAGTTTAAGTCCAGATATGGAAAATGTTTTGAAACCTTTATTAATGTAATCAGCAGCTCAAAACATAGAGCACAAGATCTTGAATGGAGTGACAGCACCACCCTCAGACAGGAAGAAGCAGTTACAGTCAAGTTGAAATGATGACTCAGGATTATTCCAAGACTATCTGTGGAAACAAACATTGAAACTGAATGTATTTCACAAATGGCCTTGCTTTTATTGGCAACATGACGATGTGTGTATATCACCATAGCTTAACTTTGATACGTATCCTTAAAATATTCACACCTTCTTTAAATTTTGACATATTTTGTCATGGTAAAAATGCAAACTTCATTGTATTCGATTGGCATTTTTTGGGATTGGCCAAAATAAAGTAGTGAATATTTACAATATTGAAGAGAAATTACCCTTATTTGTAAAAAAGAAAAAAAACGACCCTACATAAGTTATCTTTAGTTATCTCAGATTTTAGTTTATAACTACAACAATATAACAGCAATTCTTCTGCAGTTGCTTTAGATACAGTGGATTTCAGAGGGCTCCAAAATATAATTATATTTACCAAAGAAGACTTCAGTTTTTTAATTGTATGGTTCAGTGACAACATGTAACAGTATTCGTCTCAGCATCTCTTTTTAACTTCAGATCTATGCATTTAAATGCTAGTTGCCATTTTAGCATAAATAAACTAAAAATGCATTCTTAAATTTCAGTACAACTTTAACTCAAGCACCACTAGTTAGACCAGAAAACTCACTGTATAAAAGCAAAATAGAGTTACTATAGTAACTCTATTTTGTGGTTTTTGGAAAACCGATCAATAAACAGCTGATTCAATACGAAGTAGTCCCAGATTTTTTAATGTCTCTTCAGTTACCTCTGACATAAGGTAGAAAAGTTGTGTTCACAAGTTGTAGTGCTCACTGGGATTGCAACTGTTATCTTGCGAAGTCTGAAAAGCATTTCTTATATGGCTCAAGAACCAGAGTTAGAATTGCTGGAGTAGAGGGTCTTTGTGAATCGCAACCCTTTCTGCACTTTACTTTCTAAAATAGCACTTAAATGAAGAAGTTTGTTCCTAAAGTAATGAAGATTTAAATCATACAGACGATCAAATGTAAGCAAGTTTGTTACGAATGAATCAGTTTTGGGATTTAAAGCTTGTCTGAAAATAACTTGTTCAGCCTACTGAGCATTTGATCTAATGACTGGGTTGTTTAAAAAAAGTCCTGGTCTTGTTTAAACTCTCTCTGACCAACACTTGTTCAAACAGCTTTGTCACAAAATTTGTAGCCAAGCTTTTTTGATCATTTTCTGCCTACTAGTGTTACCTAATCACTACCATATATAATCAAAAAATAATTCCTGCCTGAAGTCATTCAGTGACTGAACTAAATCTACTACTTTTGAACAATTAAGTATTGTTGACTGGAGTGTGTTAACAGGTGTGTCAACTTATTTGCAGAAGTTGTGCTTCTGCAAATAGTTACAGATAAATTAACAGCAATTAATCTGTCTCCCAAAATGTCTGACAACTTGTATCTGACTTTAACCTTTTCAAGGTTTTCAATAAGATTGTATTTCCTAATCATTTCTGACAATATACCTTTACATGTTCTACTGTGTTTTCCTAATCACAAAAAGTCACAATTTCCAGTGTCATTTTTCTCAGTTTTAAATAATGTTGTGTTTCTATTGTGTCCCAATCGGAGTCTTGAGAGTATTGTGTTTTCTCTGCTGCTTTCTCCCACCTCTCATATCACCCACTTTCCCTTTTGTCTTATAGAACCATCCTCCTTTTCTTTCCCAGAGTTTATTAGTCAAAGTTATTTCTGGAATGCAGGGCAGATTCTTCCACCTGAGCTGTAGATCTCTAAAGCTGATCAAGTTGTCATTATCCTTTTGGCTTTCTCTTGTAAATTCCCTTCTTACTCTGCCTCTTTATTTAGGAGGAAACATATGTCCTTGTAGGTTTGCAGTGTCATAGTCTTTCAAAGGATTTAGGAGTAATAGAGTCAAAAGGCTGAATACAAATTTACACCAAAAGTAAAAACACTTCAGCAAGGTACCGTTTAGATGTCCTCATGTCAAATGTATTGTGATTTTTCATCAGTTTATGTCTGCACTGTGTTTTTTCTTCTTAGTCTTTCCTCAGCTCTACTTGCACATGCTGCGGCAGAGGAGGAGGGTGCTCCACGGTGAAGTCATAGTGGAGAAGGATGACTAGATGTGCACCATCCGTAGAGCCAGCCTGCCTCCACACCACCCTCACCTGACCTCCCTCCACCCACTCACCCCCAACACATCTCACCTTTTCTTTTTGGCTGTTGGCATTCTTAACTGCACGGGACCCGAGAATCAGCTGACAACCTGCCTGACAACCAGCAATGATGATGATGATAATGATGATAACGAAAACTTGGATAAATTCCTGTTTGAATGGTTATTTGGCAAGATGTTTACAGTTCTGGAGTTGTGTCTCAGCTCTGAGAGATCTGGATTCCTTCATTCACCCACTGGCTTTACACCATCTCATTGCACTGAAGAGAAACTGAGCCACATCACTGCGTCATGACAGGAAACATGAGAAGAAACGTGGAAGGAAGATTGTACGTTGTGTGCTCTGAATTGTCCCTCAGCCCAAGTAATTGGCAGATTTTAAAACAATGTGGCTGCACAGATCATGGTTCAAAAAGTTAAATAATACCTCAACAATAAATCTACATTTAGACAAATGTGCTGCTGCTTTTGTGTATATTTGTTTTACCTTTTGTGTAAATGATGCAATGTGAAATCTTAAACCACACACCGTCTCACTTCGAGCAAGCACAGCTCCAACTTAACTGTGGCTGCTTGGATCAGCTAGTGCTTTATTTTAATATTTTGATGTTTACTATATCCGCAAGACTTCCTAAGAGTCTATGCAGAGGTAATAGTTTGTTAAAGAACATTTTTAGATTTATGTCAGCGCTCTGAGTCATCGTTCTGCGTCTCGTTTTGTGTTTTAACATGTCCATACTCATAGAAAGGTAGCTAGCCTCTATCCTATTAAAGGTGCTATTGTTAAGATCTTTTCAATCTTCTGTGCAGCTGAAGGAGTAACTGTGATTGGAGTTAATCTGAAGCAGGAAAGCTGGATGTGAAATGACCCCAAAGAAAATGTTGGTCAATGATCTGCATGGACTGTGGTTAATCAAAGCGAATCAACACTTTTTGCTTATCATCTGGGTTAAAGAGGAGAAAATAAACACCAAATGTTAAATTTAATGGAAAAATATTTAAAAAGAAATGTGAAAATACCTTTTTGTGCAAAATGAATAAACTCAATCCTTCAACAGCGAAGAGAGTTTGTGATGAACTTCGGTTAAGTTGTGCAGAAATCAAACAACCATTACGTTTTAATGGATTTATTGATGAGGTTTTCCTTCATTGTTTTGTGATTTAAACCTGAGTGCAGAAAAAAGCACATTTTCTACAAGTAGAAAGGCTCAACATCTGTGTTTTATTGACACTGACAGTCCGAGAGATCCACCAATCAACTGGCTTGAGATTAGGATCAGCCAGTTTGTCCTTTATTCTCTATTTTTTGTTTGGCAGAGCAATTATTTAAAAATAGGTATTTCTCCCCCATTCAGTAATAGCATTTAAACCTTTTTTGGTCTTTAAATGCATCATTCAACATGTACAGGCACATTTCAGTAAATTCAAATGCCATTATATTTATTTCAGTCATAAAATACAGAACTTGATACTTTAAAATATAGATTCATTACAGAGAGTGGATTATGTTTCAGGCAATTAATTTAGTTAAATTTATACTTTTGGTTTACTGATAATAAAAAGGATTTTAACTGAAATATTTTATGAAGTCCTGATATATAGTCATTCAGAAAACTGCTGACTTGATAACTGTCCTGCAAATAGTAGAAATCCTTTGGATCTAGACTGAGAAGGAAGGAAAGTATTGTATTCCATTATATTACTGGAAAGCTGAGTGAAAGGAAAAACTGGTAGAGTTGAGCAAGCAACAAGGTTAACTACAGCTTACAGAGGATTCTAAAGCAAAGTTTAAAACCTGTTTGAGTCAGATTTCTGGGACGTGGACTAAGGCTGGAGTTAATGCTTCAAAAACCACCAGATCCAGACATCCAGGAAACAAAGTAACTCTTGAAGAACAGAAAAAATATCAGGATTGCCTTACATGGGTCAGGGAGAAAAGTGACAAGACTCTTTCTCCAGAGCCAGCAACGCAACCATCAAAGCTGCATGTGCTTTCATTACACCTCATCAAAACCACAGGATGATTACCTCCATGCCACACTGGATTGATGTAGTATTTTGTGCAATAGCAGCTGGGCTTGAGTACTAAGTTCAAAACTCTAGGAAGGGGACAAATACATGTGTGTAATGTTTTTTAAGTTATTAAAATAATTATAAAGAATTGCTTGAAATAAACCACTTCTGCAATGAATCTGCATGACCTTCATATTTAAACCCTATAAGTGAAACTTGCATATCACATTCTAATATATTGGGATGCAATTTTACCATGATGCTCTTTTTTGAGTTCAATAACAACCAGATAAAGATTTGGTACAAATGCTTTTATGCCCAAATAAAAAGAATCTTATAATTACTTCTTATAACATTCAGAACTATTAGCTCCAGCAAACAACCTACAGCTTTTTTCTCTCATATGTGCTGCAGTCCTCAGATTCACAATCGGCACATGAGACCTTAAAGAAGAAATCAATGCCTGACTGAATTAGGCACCGATTAATTTGATTGTGGCATTTTCCTTATACATGTACCTTCATTATATTTGTATTTAAATGAAAATAGTACATACACATTCATGAGGTTAGATACATGTTTCATTGAAAACAGTATGTCTGCTATGTGCTTTTTTTTACTTATCTTGCACGTTGTAATCTCTGAATTATACAAAATTACAATCCTTTTCACTTTTATAGCCCTTATACTTCCCTATAAAACTTGGCTAATGAAACAAACATTCAGGTGTTTAGTTGTACAAGTACAGGTATATAACATGTTTTATATAGAAAAATCAGTTGCTGATTATTTTTTTAACAGTTTCTCCTCCATTTGGATGTCCTGCTGTATTGCACTTGCTGGTAATGATGCACTCGAGTCTCCTTTGAAGACACAAGGAAAACTGCAGCCCCCGGACTCCTTTCAAAATCGTCTCTTTCCGCGCTCTGTCCAGACTGTCCACAAGCCCCTTCAGTCAATCAGTGCTGCAAGGATGGAGCTGAGCTGCTCACTGTGCTCCTTTATTTAACTGCTATGATTTTGCTGTAAAGACAAAAACAAGAGCAACCTTTAAAATTACTGCTTAAATGCAAGTTGGGCTGTAAACACAAGTCCAGACTCTGAAGCAGACTTACAGGTTTCCAGTTCTTTCTCACAGATATAGCTAATGAGATCTTCACAGAAGAAATTGTTCCATAGACCTTCGTGGATCAGACCTACACAGTCTTCCCCCAGCTCATGGCTGTGGCCCCAATTGTCAGGCTGTCCGGGCTTCCACTTCCTGCAAGTAGACAATAGGGGGCCACCACACATTATAATTACACCAGTATTTATTTACAGTAGCTGTACAGTGAGAGGCAGGTGGAAAAAGAGCACAAGTTTACCTCCACCAAGAAATTTGTAATGACAAAGGGACATTTTTGGCTTCACATTTGCGGTGTTAACAAGGATTTTTACATCACTACATTAAGCTTGAATATGTTTTTAGGGTCTTCTATATATTTTTATCATCCTTTATTTTTTTTTACATGTTGCATGTTAAGAGAATTGAATCACATTTTTAAATGGTTTTGATCTATTAATTGAACTGTTTTGTAAAGAAATGTATCCCAATGAATGTATCTTAGTTGCCAGTGAATAACATAACTCTTCTTAAATGTATAAATCATTTTATTGTGGTTTGTACTGGAATAAATGTTTTATCCCAATACAAGTCATTTGTATTGGGATATTTGTGAAATTTCAGTTTCTTATATTGATTAAAATGGACTTAAAGCTAAACTTGAGAAGGTCACTTTAAAAGCCAACGTAGGAGTGTCAGAAACATAATAAATCACAATGCTTACCTAGTAAAGATATAAAAGTACAATGGTGTTGTGCTTTCATGTACACCATTTGTACATGATATCAATGCAAAAACACACTTAATTAATTGGGATAACATCATTCTGGAAACAAATAAGAAACTCTGAATGATGATTTAACACTGACGTGAAAACAGGAATCGTTCCATCCAACCAGCGCCACGCATTCTCTTCTTCCCTGTCTGTCAGACCAATCCAGAAGAAGCCCTTTCCAACTATTTGCCCCTCCAACCATTTCTACATGAGGAAAAATAAAACAGTCAGTGACAAGTTGAACTCAAAACAGCAGCTTTAACTGTTTTTACATCTGTTGACCACATATACACATCACCTGTTCTTCTTTGTCACCGATGATCAGTAATGTTGCTAGTTGTGATTCACAGATTGCTTTTGAAACATCAAAACTCTCCAGGTCTTTGGAAAAGTAGTAGCACTTGTTTTTGTAGTTCACCCAACCAAGAGGGCAACCTGAAAAACATTAAGAGGTTCCATAATTAGTTCATAAGAAAATGCACCAGATTATTCTCTGATGAAAAAGTGTGCTACCACGAATAATCAAATGTTACCGATTTAATTTTATTAATTCAATTTAGTTTTACAAAGTGCCACTTCACAAAACAATTAATTTTGAGGAAAATTATATAGTAGATTAAATACAGACAAAATGAAAGATTCAAATTCCATTACATACATTCCAACTCCACTCAAGTTATACAAAACAATGCAGTAAGAATTAGTTTACTATACCAGTAAGGAAGGTTTTTTCTTGTTTTGTTTTTCTTTTTTTATGGAGCACTTCATTAAGCTACTAAATTTAGAGCAGCCCCTCCTCCAGAAGGGGCATGCGGCCAGTTGACTGCATTGCATCTTTGATGTTTACATACTGCGAATGTAGGTGGCAACAGTGGAAAAGAAAACTTTCTTTTAGCCTTGGATTTGTCTCCAAATAATGCTAAGGGAGTAGAAAAGTTGGCAATTACCTTCAAGATTATCATGGTAAATATTAGAGATTCATTCTCAAATAAAAGCAATAACAACCTCAACATCGTAGACTGAGTTTTGGAGAAACTGGGTCGTCGTCAGCAAAGAGTTTCCTTTGACTAAATCTAAAAATAGCCAACTGCATATTACAGTTCACATCTAGTGCAGGAGCTTTCCTACCAGGTAAGTTCTTAGCAAGTAGAAGTAACTCTAGGAAAGATTTACATATTAATCTTCATAAGCTGGCCATCGAAGAACAAGATAATGTTTGGAAGCATTTAAAGAAGAGAAAAGGTTTTACCTGGGGCTGACAGTGCACGAGGAACTGCCTCGTCCTGCTGTGACACTGGTGGAAAAGGCATTGCTGGACTTTGAATGGGGATTCCTGGCAGCCCTGGTGGTCCCACAGGCCCTGGGGGCCCAACTGGTCCAGGTAGACCTCTTGGGCCTTGCTCCCCAGCTGGTCCAATTGGTCCGCGGATGCCCGGTGGTCCTTGCAGTCCCGGTACACCAGTCTGGCCATCTCTTCCAGGAAGACCAGCCTGTCCTGGTTCTCCTTTAGCTCCTGGAGGTCCAGCTCTGCCTCCTGACCCTCGAGAACCTTTCGGTCCTGGACTTCCAGGTACACCCGGGAGGCCCTTTAACCCTGGGAGACCTGGTGGTCCCGGTGAACCCTGCTCTCCTCTAGCTCCTCTGAGTCCTGGAGGTCCTTTTTCACCTCTCTCCCCCTTGGATCCTGTCTGACCAGGTGGTCCTTGAGGTCCTCTGTCCCCTCTTGGTCCTCTTGGACCAGGCGGGCCTTCATATTTAAAAGGTAATTTTAAGTCAGGAAAAATTCTCAAAAACAGTTCAAGAAAGACTTCACCCGATTACTCACCCTGTAAAATAGTGAAGTTTGTTATCAGCTGTGAGTGCTTGGTGTCCACCAGCTTCATTTCCTCCATGACAATAGAGAGACTGGTGACCTCCTTATCCAAGCGGGCTGCCAGCTCCTCCTGTTGTGACCTCAGGCTGGATGCATCCATCCTGATGTCTGATACGCTGTCGTTAAGGTTCTGCAGGACATCTGAGTGACGGCCGATGGTTTCTGAGCAGCTGCGCAAGTCATTGAGGTTCAAGTTTATGGCTCCCAGAAGTTGCGTGGTGTGGCTCATGTTGCCCGTAACACGGTCCATAATTTCCTCCAACTCATCCACCTGCATCTCTACCCGGTCAAACTTTGAGGATGTGAGGTTGCTGAAGTCCCTCTGTCGGTCCATGATCTCCCTGAGCGTCTGGTCATGACCCTCAGCCAGCCTGCTGGTGTTCTGCAGCTGGCTGGTCATAAAAGCAAGTTGTGCCCCCACATCTTCCAGGCTGTCATTGTTGGCTTTAGCCAGAGTCGAGGCATTGCTCGCTACGACCTGCAGATTTTCCATTTTTCCACGAAGCCAATCTACGTCAGAGCGTGTCTGACGCGCCGTCTGCTCCAGGTTCTGATAGTCGTTGCGCATTTTGTGAATTGCTTGGCTGGTTTCATCAACGACCCGCTGCAGCGCTGCAATGAGGCCTCTCTGCTGGGCCTGCGTGAGGTTCAGGTTGCTGATGCTGAGAAGCGCCTGGCTTTGCAGTTTCACTTGCTGTTGTAGCTCCCTCTGGAGTCTGGCCGTGTCCTCCTGCAGACTCTCAATGATGTTGCCGTAAGACTGCAACGTGCCATTTACCGAACGCAGGGCGGCTGTGTTGCTGCTGAGACGCCCCCGAACGGTGCCCTGGCTGCTCTGAATCTCTGAGCCAATACTCTGCAATTGATTCAGCTTGACCTGATCGCTGTGGACGTGTTCCTGCACTGCAGACAGCTGCCTCTGCAGGGCCCAGATGTTGCTCTTGAAAGCCTGAATCTCTGTGGTGGTGTTCTCGGACTTCTCTTCCGTTTGATCATCTGAAAATGACCATCAGCACATTGAAATGCAGAAATCTCTCGCTGTCTCACTTTTGTATTCTTATATAACTTCTAGTAAATATGTACCAAGCTTTTTTAGATCTGTCTCGACCGCAATTATCTTTCCGCCATAGCTTGCAATACCTTCAGACACACTGTCGACTCTTTGCACCACTGCAAAGAAAACAAAGGGGGTAACATAAAGTTGAGTGTTATAACAAGATCATATTTCTTTAAACAGACCACAAAAAAAGGCAGAAGGACCTCCAGCTACAGACATCATCATATAAAAGAGCTCAGAGAAGGAACCAATGAAAATATCTTATTAATACTACAGGAATTCATCTGCATGTCTTGTAGGCATGTAATAAAGACTTTATTAAAGTCATCGCTTACATTAAGCAAAAAAAAAAAGACAAGAGGTTGATAAAAGAAGTTAGAAATTACACAACACATGTATGTGTTGAGGAACAGACAAATAGAAGAAAAAAATGACTCATCAAAAATACTGGGTGGTCAATGAGTTGGACCAAGGCTGAGGCTGCATGGAGGGACACAGGCCAGGGCCCTGGGGGACAGGCGCTGACATCAGGGTGTGGGGGTGAAGGGAAATTCTTCAGTAAACAGACGGATCAAAGACAACCCACTGGAGACAGACACTGTTGCTTGGGAGGCTCTTTGCGCCCCCACAGGCGACACCAGCGTTCATTTCCTCAGGAATGTGTCTGAGATTCCAGGGAAGCAGCCCACTTCTACCACCAGCCTCTCCAGGGGCACACTTCCTCCAACTGGGAGCAGCATGGGTTTTTCAACTGGGAGACTGTGTGCCCCAGCAGCCAAGAAAGACAAGATGCTGGGATGAGATGATGCTGATGCACGCCTAGCTATAAGTTGTGTTTGCAGTCCTACTGACAATAATGTTGCAAAATGAGTTCACTTCCAGAGCTTAATCCTTAAGGTAAATAAAATGCTGATCTTCATAAATCTGAACACATTCACAGAGCCTTGTAAATCACTGCTGTTCAAATTAAATGGAGTGTGTCTAACAGTCCACACACCCCAATTAAAATATTGGTTTGTTTGAAAATCAAACCAATATCTTGTTTTTTGTACACAGAATGAGATCAACAGCTTTTGCATATACAGTATACAGACTAGACTAAGAAGCAGAGTTTAGAGTCAGTTCTTTTATTCCAAAGAGAACACCCACTGGCAAAAATCTTCCAAAACTTTGTTAAAGAAATGTTCTTTTTCTTTGGGGTAATTAAAATGAACTTTTGGGTATAGTTTCAAACATTATGTTTGGCAAAAAAACTGAACACTGAGTTTCTCCAAAGGAACACCATGCTGACCATGACATGGGATTATATTTCATCAGGTGCTATTATGGTTTTTGCAAAGATGGATGAGGTTATGAATTCTTCCCAACACCATTCAGTTTTAATCCATACCTTCATTGGAAAGCACATTATTTTTTTCAGCATCACAGTGAGTCAGAGCGTACATCAAGTTGTGCAATGGGCCAGTCAGATTTCTCTATATAATCCATAGTGTTATGTTTGGGATTCTGAGATATTCAGCATTTTCCTCATGTACCTTTAGGCATACATTGACTTTGCCAGACCATTGCTGTGTACAACACATGACAAAATAATGAGGTTGAGAAGATTTCAGAAAGTACAAAACTTTAAAACAAAGTCATCGTAACAGTACTCATGCGTGAAATTAACCTTTTAGAGAACTTTTAACTGAATGAGGAAGTTTTTAACACATAATTATTTCACAAGGCTTTCTTTGAGCGTGAATGAAAAATTGCAGATACTTTGAACTTAACTATTCGCCTTCTTCTTTCTTTTGAATTTAAAAATATAAACTGGAGGTTAACGCCTCAACCATCAACACTGACGCAATGAACAACTTTTTTTCTTATTATTTATAATTAATAATTTTAATTAGCTATAGTTTCTGAAGATGGGTCTTGGTGTTTTAAAAATCATTAATCTGCCATAGAAAAATGTAAAGGCATATTATTTATTTATTTTCTACTTTCTTGTTTGATTTTTCAAGGTTTTGTGATGGGAGAACATCTTTAAACTTAGAGGATAATGACCTTTGTTTCCTTACATGTAATGATTTTCTTCTACTATGTTGTAAATGTGAGAGGTCAAACATATTAGGTTTCTCATCATGCAGCCAAGAGCTTTGGTGTTCAGTGAGCTTATGATTATAATGAGACCTCCTGTTTGCAGCTCTTTGTCTCACTAACGGCCTTCACGGTGGCCAAGTATGACATGACCGTTCTGTCTCAGCACTTCTTCATACACTGTAAATCATGACTGGAAATTATGACTTCAAATCTGTTAGAGTTACAAAAATAACAATCGCAGGAATCATTTAAGGGGATGTACCATTACCACGACTCACTGCGCCTTACTGGAAATATAACCTTCTAACACTGATGAATCTCCAGGACAAACCAAAGTGTAAGTTCTATGTTCCTTTTCTCAGAAGTGTACAATATGAAACTGTTAAGCCCACCCTGGTTGTGTGCAGCTATGCAGGCCCTGTAGTCATGCTCTTCTGGCTGATTGGTTTATATTTGTGTACCTACAAAGCTAAGGTCTACGTGTGAAATGTTTGCCCATGCTGTAAAACAAATTAATCAAATATCACCTTCAGTAAAAATGAAGTCACTTATTGATCACATTCCAATCACATGTACCTGTGAGGACTGAGCCCCACAGTGTGAAACTTCGCTGTTTTGTTTCTTGGGTTATGGATTTGGTCACTACAAAATTGTTGCCATTCTGTTAGAGGGACTATTTTTACAGTTATAAGGAAACGGTTATGATATAATGTCATTTGGCCAATTTGGATAGATTTTGAAGGTGAAAAGCCTGTAAAACATTTGAGCTGGACATCCAAAAACTCCACTTTGTGTAATTTCAATACAAATGCATTTTTTGAAAGTGACTTTGCAACAATTTGCAGACTGATAGGCAACTTTGTTTCTCTTCTGTTTCATTCAATAGAGCACGATGCGTTCCTTTTTTACCTACTTCATGTTGTTTAAGCTATGTCTTATCCAAATTACCTAGTAAACTGTCATTGATTTGACTAATGAACCAAAAAATTACCTTAACCACATTTATTTATGATTCAGCAAGGGGTTAATTATTTTCTCACATTTGTGTTGATTTGTTTAAATTGTCTTTTGTTTTATTAAAAAATTAAATGTTAATGTGAAAAAAGTGAAAATCTGTTCACAATACCATGTTTCCTTTTCATGTGTTGTACTGTCTCTAAGAATTTCAGTATAATTTGTTTGAAAAAAATTACTTGCTTCCCTCCTTCAGCATTTTTGTGCAGAGAAGAAAAATCCTAGACCCCCGCATTCTATTCAAGTTGATCTCTAAAACTAGAAACCTCAAGAAGTAATTGAATTCTTGTAATTTGTGCGAGCAGGCCCTTTAAATTTCAACTTTGAGTGACTGCCTTTCTTTCTTTTTTTTTTTTTTTATTCAGCTCATTTGTCTCCACCCCGTAACCTTCTCCCAGTATTTTTCCATCACCCCCCCAAGCACACACCTCTGGAGAACCTCTTAAAGGCTTTGTTGGGCTGAATGTCCTGATTCTGTTTTTTCCAGTTCAGAAATCAGTTCTGTAGTCTTTTTCCAAGTTTGAACCCGTAATGTCCCTGCTGCAGTTGTGTTAAACATTCCCATATGTAACCCTCATTACTTCAATTGGTGTAAACGGCATGAACTTAACATGTTTTAGAGGTTATCTCTGTGCCTTGACCGCCTGTAGGACGACAGTGCCCTACGTTTTGAGCAAAGTCAGTCTTTCTTGTTCCACGCTGCATGTTGTCATGCAGGTCTAATTGTTGCCAGATGGGCATCGGGTGAACTGAGTGCAACTTCAGCAGAACCCACCAAAATTGAGTTTTCACTCGTACAAAAACGCTGCGCTGTCAAAGGAACCACAGTTCAAATACACTTCAACCTCCAGATGGTGATGTCAGCAAGACGCAGACCCCTCTATGCACTTAACATGTGTGCTTCTCTCTGTTCTCCATCACTGACCCACACAAAGCGTATTGGTGCGGCTGCTTTGTTTCGATGCAGCTTGACCTCAAGTATAGCTGGAATCCGGAGACCTCCGTAGCAGATGTAAGCATTATGTGCCTCACTTCATTTGCTGAAGTTTTGAGTCTCGAAGACCTGCTGTATTCCAGCCTTTTAGGCCAGCTTATACTCATAGCTGGGCAAGTCACCAACCAGTTGCTTCATTGCTATCTTGAATCACACAGTTTTATTTTATAAGTCAGCTAGGAAGGAAACAGTGTTATATAAACCACCCCCAGGAAATCTAGACACATCTAAGACTTAACACAAAACAGGTCATTGTGCTAGACTTTTAAAGTTTTTGTCCGCTGTGATTTAAGCTTCCCTGTTGGTGAGCTGGATGAACAGAGCCTCTGTGGAAAAGTCTCAAAATAGAAAACATGCAAAACAAATCTTTAAAAAATTATAGACTATACAGATTTTGGTGACAATTTACTACATGATCAGATTTAGATTTCACTGATATTATACATAAAATGATATGATATGCATGAAAGGAAAAACTGTCAGAAATAATATGAAGAAGAGAAAACTTGTCTTACCTTTATATCCAAGAACAGCAACAGCAATAGTGAGTAGGGTGCACAGCACATAGAGCAGAGCTATGGAGGTCTTCAATGCCCATTCATTCTTACACTTTGTGCATTGGGTGCCCTCCTGGATCCCTGGGCGAGAACAGTGAATACCACATGATTTTGTGTGTTTCATACTGGAGCAAAAATGTTTATTATGGACATATTGTTAGAGTTCGAAGGCTACTAGGGGAGCTGGAAGTTCCACATCTGGATAAACAGAACTTGGGTCTACATTAAAGAGAGCAATGGTTCCCTCTGGGAATGGGTAGTGAAGGGAAGGGGACACAAAAACAGCCCCCCGCTCCCCAACACTGCCTTGTTTACACTCGGTAACATGCTTGTTTCCCCAAACTCAAGTTTCACTCAGCAAAGTCCCCGTAACTTCACAGTACTTTTGTTCAGCACCAACTCTGGCCCCTCCTCCTCGTCGCAGGATCAGAGTCAAATCAAGGTCCTTCGTTTTACGAGGGCACCAGTGGAATATTCCTCTTTGAGGATATTTTTCATAACAGATGAGTGGCAAGATCCACAGTGCTGCCGGGAACACAGCTGCATTTCATTTTCAATTCAGGAAGTGTGTGTCTGTGTGAGTGGAAAGGTTGGGAGGGCAAGTGTGTCTGTGTGTGAGTGCCAGCAGGGCGGAGGGGGGTGTTCCAGCTTTTATGCACCTGGAGTAGGACTTCCTGACAATTCTTAGATGTAGTATAAAGATATCAGTCATTCAACATTTGAAAACAGTGGAGCCAGCAGGAATCATACATCGTGCACATCAATTCAAGAGTGATGAGGTCGTGCTTCAATAGATTACACTCGCAGCACTGATTTGGTTTTGCTAGATCCCACTGGGACTTTAGATGCCAAAGTTAAAAGCATGACTAGTTCTGATAGGTGTAAAGGGACTGTTAATGGTCACTGAGAGTTAGGACTCAGTTAAGCTCCCGCTAAAGCAGGACGGGAAGTGAAGATTTATGGTGAAAGGTTGGGGGTTGGACCTGGGAGACACAGCGACGACTCTTTTTTACCATAAATCTTCCACAGATAATATTACCAACATAATAGGTGATTTTATATTTATTGATATTGTTTTTCTTCTGATGATTGACTGATATACAGTCAAATCCATCAATAAACAATTTACAGATTTGGGTCAAGTAATTCATTAAGAGCTGGTCCTTACCAGGTTCCGACATTATGTAAATCTAAACTCAACATTGTAAAAGCTCAAAACGAACAAAGTAAAAAAAAACAACAAAAAAAAACAAAACAAATTAAAGATCATGTTTTCTCAGGTAAACTGCAAGATAATTTGAGACCTAAACCTCAGACTGCAGTTTATGACTGCATTTGGGTTCTTTCTAATCTCAAACATGACAGAAAGAAGACATATTTAATTTGCTGCTATAACCACTGGTTGGGTTTTACTCTGTTAATTTGTTCTTATTTGCAAACACTAGCTGAAGGGGTTGTGCAAGAGAATACTTTCTGTACATTTAAAGTCATGTTACAAATGTCTGAAAAACTGAAAGAAGTTCAAACCAGAAAGTTAAGCCAACCACCAGAAAGTGTGAATTTTTCCATCTCAAAAAATTCCATTCATCTCAGTCATTTCTTTGTTTTCACAGAAACTTCCTTCAGGAGTAAAATCTCAGAAATCAGACTTATATAAAACTGGTAATAGCTAGTTTGCTATGTTAGTTAGATGTGCTCAAGTGGCACATGTTTACAAGTAAGTTGTCAAAAACTGGCAATTAAGATGATTGCCTTATTATTTAATATCTGTATTGGCCACTCATGTATGTTGACCTGATTTAAACTATTTAAAAACCCCATGTCTGACTGGTCTGAGTAGAAACAGCACAAACAGGAACTAGTTTGTGAAGTTAAACAAAAATACTCCAATTTGCTATAGCTAATACAATTTAAATAACTCAAATGCCACTAATCTACCCAGTTTATTTGGCAATACATCCTGATTTTTTACATATTTTGTCTGCATGTTGTGAACAAAACCTTCCACCTTGCTGCTCCACAAGGAAATTAAAACAAAAATATAGTGAAATACAGTGATTTCATTTTTGGCCACTTTGCCCCTCTGTAAATCAACATGTGAAGATTCTTTGGCAATTACGTCAGAAACAGTTTATAAAAGCGAGGGAAGGTTTTTTATCAACATCAGGCTCCACTATAGAAACATCTGCTACAAATGTGGGAGTGGGGCGAGTTACTCAGCAGAAATCTTTACTGCAACCAGAAAAGTAGATGCTGGGAATACAACCACAATAAAATGACTCCATTTTGGAATCATTCATATCCATCTGACATATATGAGGAGTTCTTTTATGCACACTTCACAATGAAGCATGCACATCAGCTCATCACCTCACAGAAATCAAGGCGCTTCTGTCCAAAGCTGCTGTTTCAGAGTAAACAAGCTGACAGTGTTTGTTAAATCTGTGGAGGCAAAACGCCACAAACACACTTTGTTGGTTATAAATGACATTTAGATGCTCTGTAAAAAGCTGGATACTTTTGGTCTGGCAGTCAAATACAACATGTGGCTGATAGATCAGAGATAAGGTCACATTACCAGATACAGGAAACAGACATAAGTAGAAAATATTTAGAAAAGGGGAAACTTTTTTTTTTTCTGGATGGGACATTCTGTTTTGATTCAACTCTAATAACTTCATGATCTCTCAGGTAGAAATACTAAGTACTTGAAAAGACCGTCAAGAGGTTTATTTTGGCTCTGGAGGAACTGCAGGGATCCCCAAATCAGGTGGGAGAATCTGATTAGAGGATCGCCTTAGCGCTCTCACAAAAAAAAGAAAAACAAAATTTGACTGTTCTTCAGTTATTTTCTAAAACTATGTGACGACTCTATACACAAAGACTTGCAGTTCAAACTGCACCAAATGAAAATGGAAACAACTTTGATTGAAATGGATTGAATGCATATGTAAGCCACACTTTTCAGATTCAGGATTTCTTTTGAAATTTGAAAACTATGTGTTTTTTTTTTTTCTTCCACTTCACAAGTATGAATATTTAGGGCTAGTGTTTTAGTCTATTGCATAAAATCCCCCAAGACTTAACGGAGATATGCTTTGGTTGCAATGTGAAAACCTTTGTGAACTTTCGCAAGACACTCTAATTACCTTAGAGGTCACATACAATGCTATGAATAACTACTTTATATAAAAATGGTAAAGATAGATTATACGATGACAAATCACCAGTAACTTATCATGAAATGAAAACAGAAACTCTGAAAAAGGCTGAGAGAAACCACAGCTTTGGTTTTTCATCGGCTGATGCTGACCTATCATCTTTCGCCTTTGCTTGCACATGCAGATGAAGTCAGGTCACACAGGCAATGACTTGAAAAATAACCAAGGAAGTCAAGCCACAGGCTGACAGCCACACTTTTACTCCCTAGCAAAAGAAAACAAAGCTTTGGAAATGAAGGGCCTTTTCTGTAACAAGGACACTGCAAGAGCTGGCTTTGACATGTTACTAACCTCACTTTGTCACTATGTTCTTTGGCTCATATTCACTCATTGTTTCTGCAAAACCACGGCGCTGGTGTGATTCAGAGTGTTCACCTTTGTGCTGTAGATGTATCTCCAAGTCTGTGTCATGCATCAGCCTAATTTCCCTAAAACAAAAGACTACCCAAACACCAACCCTCTGAAATGCCAAAACAAAGTCCATGAGGTCACAGTGATACATGAGCCTCTTACATTTAAAGGCTGTGTTTATTTACAGTAAACAGCGGCAGGAACGCTATAGAAACCATGGAGAACACAAAGCCGTGTGCTGCTTAGGTCACAGAAACTGTGATTTGGACTTCAGCCTTGCTAAACACTTTCAAGAAAGCAGAGAGCAAATCTACTAAGAGATTGGTAAGAAAATTACACCTGGCACCAAAAAGAAACAGCAGTTTAACACAAATTGCAGCAGTGGAGGAAGAGTTTATGACCGGAGAGGAGGTAACAACACCAGAGGGATGTAGAAGTGATGGATGTATGGTTATATAGAAATTTACACTAGTGAAGAAACATTCGTCTTTGGTTTTCACCGGTTCTGTGCAGGGTTTCATAGAAACAATGAAAGATATTTAAAAATTCCCACAGCTCCATTTCACTTTCTCTTTCCTTTTAAATTTCTCATTAGATCCGATGAGTTCATGCCACTTATTATGGGGATTAATAGCATAACAAATTTTGGACTTTAAAGACAAATCTGAGCCGTTAGCGAGGCGATTCTTTTAAAAACAATAATTAGGTACACATGTTTCAATTTACTATTAATTCTCTCTCATCTACGCAAATTTGGATTAGCACACATAGCACAAATATATTTAAGCTTTTGCAGCTGTATGATTCTGGTTGAGTACTGGAATACTTTTCTGATCAGCAACGGAAGAACCTACCAGATTTGTTGGTTTCCCAGAAGGAACTAAATTGAAAACAGAGTCCATGCATTTTGGGCAGAAGTGAGATCAGGAGTAATTCAACAATCTTAACATTAACCTGATTTATCTGTTTCAAATCCAATCCTGTTGTGTGTTTGGGATCATGTCAATGCTGGAAAAGCCAGGTGTGGCCATGTGTTCACCAAATGGTCAAAAATGTCACCCTGAAATTTGAGGTATTCAAGAATAGCCCCACATCTTGTCCATAAACAAGAATACACAATAGGAATCAGAATTGATTCTTGCACGTCTTAGAGTTCAGTATCAGTGTTTTTTCTTCTGAAAAATAAAAACCCAATGATACTGGACTCAAATCTACAGCCAACACTGTGGCATTAGTGCATAAAGATGCCTTTGTTTACAGGACAATTTCAGTTTCAAAGTCTCTCTGAGTGAGCAAACATCTTTATCCATGCTACAGATGTTTGTTCTTTAAAGTCTGGAGCAGAAGAATGATTGAGTTTCTGCAGGGATTTCAGAAAATGAGCAGAACATCATATTTGGCAGCCAGAGAGAAAAATGTTTAGATAAAAATCCATCATAGAGTGTGTCATACACTCTATCAGATATACACCATAGAGTGTATGTATCAAGCAAAGTAACCCCAACTCAA